GTGTGTACATGTGTGGGTGGAAGAAGACCTCGCTATACACGCCTCCCTAGCTGAGGGAGTTTCAGAGTTATGCTGACAACACGCTGACTAATGAAGCGTGTGATAAACAGTCCTGATTTCACCAGGTGTGTGTCTGTGTGTGTACAGGCTGCAGCTGTTGAAGCCTGAAGTTGGACTGAATGAAGTCATCAGGGTGAGACAGAGGTTCGTGTAATGAAGAGAGCCGCATAACATGAACACGCAACTTAGATTAAAATACAAACGACAATGGAGTCGCAATATATTAATGCTCAGAATTAGTGCTCGACTGATTTGTTTTTTGTTTCTTTGGGTGCAGATATTTATGATGGCCAATATATAATGCTGACATAATGTTTAGCTTTTTTGGATAATATGCAAAGACATAAACCCTCCGAGACATGTAGGTTTCCCGAAGAGCGACTCTGAAGCTCTGTGTGGCGGCTCTGGCTGTCGACATCTTAGCAGGGCCTGACTAATCCAAAAATTAGTTAGAGCGTGAGTAGAGCTCAAGTGGGCCAGGCAGACATCTCTGGACTGTGCAATGATGGCCCCCACCTGTGAGCCTTGATACAACTGAAAAGGATGCGTTTATAAAAAAATAACCTCCTTACAGCCACTGTGACTGAGAAGATTAGACAAAAAACGTCTGGGAATCCACTACGACCGGGATTGGCTTGCATTTGGAGCCAATCTCAAGTGGCCATTTGAGGAACTACATATGTGCATCATTTTTCAGCCCTGAAGGTTGCTGCTTGGCTGTTCCCTGCCAATTTTAGAATTGATGCATACTTAACATACTCTCTCTTTCAGGTCAACTAGCTTAGCAGATGGCAAAGGCAAAAAAGCAAAGAAGTCTCCTCTCCTCTGCTCAGTGTGCCACATGTTCAGCTTCTCCTCTGCCATTACAGTGATAATGATATTTGTAATTAATGTAATCTGTTTAAAGACACGGAGACATAAACAAGGCAACGTGGTGTACGTAGTCCAGTGCAGCGAGGGATGCCAAGACCTGGACATCCACAAGCACATGGCTCAGTACAGATGAGCAGCTCCTCAGGACAAGATGTCCACCTGCATCTTAAGGGCAAAGGACACTCATTTGAAGACTTTGGCCAAGGGGGACAGATGGTTTGAGAGAGGGGTGGAAGAAGTCATCTATGTCAAAGTGGAAAGACCATCCCTCAACAGAGTTGGAGGTCTGAGGCATCACCTCTCAGCTGTTTACAATTCAGTCGCAAGATCTCTCCCCAGGAAGATGAACGCACATTCACATCTAGCCAGAAAAGACCCTAACGAACGCCACTGTGGCAGGGGGAGCACTAACGACTCACATAACGAGGGGGAGGAGCAACAAACCCCCAAATGAAACCGAAGATTAATTTGTGTAATTAACACATTACATTTTTAACACATTAACACATGAACAACACAGTTATTACTCATGAGATATAAAAAATTCAAACTGGGGGGGTCACAAACAAAAACTTGTTATCTCCGGGATCGTGGCTCAACCAGTTTGAGAACCACTGAGTTAGTGAATAGTTAGATTAACCATGTCAAAACTGCTAGTTTGGGTGATTAAACAACGACACAAGTGTCAGTGCAAAGGTCATGCAGTAGTTAGGACCTAGAATAC